CTCTCTCTCTCTCTCTCTCCCCTTTCCTCTAAATCTCAGCTATTCCACTTACCCCTGCGCATTTGTATTTGCTTCCTAGGCCATTTGCTCAATTGCCCTGCTCGATCTGGGCCTCCGATCCGGCTCAGAGGCATGCAAAACAACCTCTTCGCAACGGACGTTTGTGTGTCCCTATCCTTTCCTTCCCGAAACGACTAACTGTTCAACAAGCCAATCCTCTCCTGATCACTTTCCCTCTTCCCCTCTTTCCAGTCCCCTTTGCACACTGTCCTTGCTGCGTTTTATTCCCCTCCTGCTCAAGCTCTGCCAACTTGATACTTCCCATGCAAACAGCCTACGCTGTGGGTAGAGTCCAACAAATAAAAAACCTCCTCCTCCTCCTCCTCCTCCTTGGAACCTCCTTCTACAGCAGAGAAAACGTCAGGCTCCCTTTGTGCTTCGCACAGGTGGCGAGGCCGTGTATGCCTTTTGGCTATTTACAAGCAACAAGGACACACAGATTTGTCCTTGCTGACATCAACAAAAAACTGTCCAAACGCCCATCAAACGTTGATGGCCAGCAAAAAACAGTATGAGAGCGTACTCGCACGAGGACGTCCCCGAACGTATCTGACCGCTCCCGCATGTATCTGACTGCAATTACGTCCAGATATCAGTTGAAAAAGAGTTTTTACTGTGCTTACGTTCTGAAGAAACCAGTAGCCCACATTTCATTCGATCCGTGTGCTCAGCTGCCTTCCTGTCATCTTCCGCACCTTCGCTTACACACCGCTGCGACCTCTATTTCCCCTTCTCGTTATAATTCTTCTTGTCCCCTCAAGCTTTTTTCACTCCCACCTTTGTTTTCCTCAATTACAGTTTTATTCAGTCCAAAACGTTTTCTTTGTGGCATCAACATATTCGTCACAGACTTCCTTGAAACGGGATCTGAAAAGAAGATTCTCCGCTATAGTCCGCCCACGTCATTCAACGCCGCAGCAAACAAGCCAGGCTGATGACAGACAAACAGAGAGAAAAAAAACGAAAGCCATACGAGGGAGCAAATCAAACATTTTGTGAAAGATTAACTAACAAAGCTGCAGGGGGAGAAAACAAAAAATTGTCGGATCAATATAAAGCAATTATTTTAGGATCTCTTCTGGGAGATGGTTCACTCAAAAATATTCAATAAGAATGTGCAAGATGATTTATTCCACCACATAGCCACAAGTACCTATTCCAGCTATCGAATAAATGGGATATGCATTTGTAAGCAAAAAAAAAAAAAAAAAAAAAAAAAATCAACACTATAAACAATAGCAAGGAAAAAAAACAAGGATTCATTAAAAAAAAGGGAAAAATGAAAAACAGTAAAAG